CGGTAACCTTTGGCAAGAAATGAGCGTCCCAGGTGAGTCGGGGAGGTATCGAGGAGGAGCAGGGGTCAAGGGAAGGGTCAGAAATGCCACTGAAAGCTTTTGTTCCCTGTTCCAGGTGTGCCATGCAGTGGGAGCTGCAAGCTGCACCTCTTGCTGAAGACAGTGACACAAGGAGGTGGGTGCACTTAGGAGACGGTGAGTGTAGCAATGGTTGGCGTTTGGCTAATGTGCTGCTAAAGTCATGCACTGATTTTGGTTTCCTTTCTTGGAGATGACAAAGAGAAGATGCATTAGGGAGAGTGAAAAGGAAGTTGACTGTTGGAGTCAAACCCTTTTAAACCCTAAGGAAGTCCAACAGGAGACGGCAAAGCCCTCCCTCTCCTGCCATAAGACAGATGGAGCAGACCAAAATGATGGGGGGGAATGGAAACAGGTCCCTAATGGGAGAGGTAGAAGAATTCTTTCTAGACCCCCATCACCCCTCAGGGTGCCCTTGAAGAATAGATACGAGACTCTGGACCCAGACAGTCAGGTAGAGGACAGCCAAGATGATCCCTCTAGAGAGCCTCCTAGTTCGGCCCTGTCCAAAAGACGGATTACAACCACAGGTATAAAAAAAAAAGAAGGGTAGTTGTAGTCGGTGACTCCTTTTGAGGGGAACTGAGGGCCCTATATGTCGCCCAGACCCATCCCAGAAAGAAGTATGCTGCCTTCCTGGGGCCAGGGTGAGGGATATTAGTAGGAGACTTCCTGAGTTAATTCAGCCCTCAGACTATTATCCTCTGGTGGTAGTCCAGGCTGGCAGTGAGGACATTAATCAAAGAAGTGCCAGGATAATTAAAAAAGACTTTAAAGCACTGGGTCGGTCAGTTCAGGGGACAGGAGCACAGGTGATATTTGCCTCAGTTCCTGTACTATCTGGGATGGATGAGGAGTTAAATAAAGAGAGGAGTAAAAAAGCCCAACTCCTCAACAGATGGCTAAAGAATTGGTGCCACCATCAAAATTTTGGTTTCTTTGACCATGGGGCAAACTCCTTGGTACCTAGTTTCTTAAAATCAGATGGGATTCATCTTTCTAGGAAGAATAAGAGGACTGTAGCCCATAAGTTAGCGAGGCTGATTAGGAGGGCTTTAAACTAGGTTTGAAGGGGAAGGGTTGAAACCGGGCTCTCCAGTGATCAGCCTAAGGATGGAAAGCCTGAGTTAAGAATTAAATCAACAGCCCACCTGAAGTGCATGTACACTAATGCACGCAGTATGGGCAACAAGCAAGAGGAGCTGGAGGCAATTGTGCAGCAGGAAGGCTATGATGTAGTCGCCATCACAGAAACATGGTGGGATGACTCGCATGTCTGGAGTGCTGCTATGGAAGGCTATAAGCTCTTCAGGAAGAACAGGCAGGGGAGGAGAGGTGGAGGGGTGGCTTTATATGTTAGAGACTCTCTGGACCCTGTTGAACTTGAGGTCAGCAACAATAAGGTTGAGTGCCTGTGGATCAAAATCAGGGGGAAGACCAACAAGACAGACATCATCATGGGTGTCTTTTACAGACCGCCTTACCAGGATGATGAAGAGGATGAATTATTCTACAAGCAGCTGGCGGATGTCTCAAAATTGTCAGCCCTTGTCCTTGTAGGTGACTTTAACCTGCCGGATATCTGCTGGGAGCTCAATACTGCAGAGAAGAGGCAGTCTAGGAATTTCCTGGAGTGTATAGAGGACAATTTCCTTCATCAACTGGTAAATGAACCTACCAGGGGTAAGGCCCCGCTAGACCTGCTGTTTACAAACAGAGAGGAGCTGGTGGGAGATATAGTGGTTGAAGGCCGCCTAGGAAATAGTGATCATGAAATAATAGAATTTTCAATACTCAGAGATTCAAGGAGAAACAACAATAAAACCTCTACGCTGGACTTCCGGAGGGCAGATTTTGACCTATTCAGAAATCTAGTCCAGAGCATACCCTGGGAAACAACCCTTGAAAACAAGGGAGTCCAGGAGGGATGGATGTGCTTCAAACAGGAAGTTTTGAGTGCACAGGAACAGGCCATACCGGTGTGCCGAAAGGCAAGCCGGCGGGGAAGACAACCAGCCTGGTTAAACAGGGAGATTCTGAAGGAAATCAGGGATAAAAAGAGAGTTTATCGACTATGGAAGAGAGGGCTGGCTACTTACGAAGAATTCAAGAAGACAGCTAGATCATGCAGAAAGAAAATCAGGGATACAAAAGCGCAATTTGAAGTTAAATTGGCCACTTCTGTTAGGGATAACAAAAAGTCCTTCTATAAATACATTAATAACAAAAGGAGGGGCAAAGAAAACCTCCATTCTTTGATGGACTTGGAGGGAAACATAGTTAATAGAGATGAGGAGAAGGCTGAGGTACTTAACACCTACTTTGCCTCAGTTTTTACCAGTAAGACAGGTGGCCCTCAAGGCAACTGGCCTCTGGAGCTGGTAGACAGAAAGAGGAAACCAAATAGCCCCCTGTATTCCAGGAGGAAATAGTTAGTGACTTACTGAGCCACCTGGATCCTCACAAGTCTATGGGACCAGATGGGATCCATCCTAGGGTAATGAGGGAGCTGGCAGAAGAGCTTGCCAAGCCGCTCTCCATTATCTTCCAACAGTCCTGGCTCACTGGGGAGGTCCCACATGATTGGAAGTTGGCAAATATCACCCCAATCCATAAAAAGGCTGCAAGGCTGACCCTGGTAACTACAGGCCTGTCAGCCTGACCTCGGTGCCTGGCAGAGTTATGGAGCAGATCATCCTGTGTGCAATCACACAGCACCTACAAGATGGACAAGGGATCAGACCCAGCCAGCACGGGTTTAGGAGAGGCAGATCCTGCTTGACCAACCTGATCTCCTTTACGATCAGGTGACTCACCTGGTGGACGAGGGGAAGGCTGTGGATGTGGTCTATCTGGACTTCAGCAAAGCCTTTGACACTGTCTCCCATAATATACTCCTGGAAAAGCTGGCAGCCCATGGCTTGGACAGGGGCACTCTGTGCTGGGTTAAGAACTGGCTGGAGGGCCGGGCCCAGAGAGTGCTGGTGAACGGGCTGCCTCCAGCTGGCGGCCGGTCACCAGTGGTGTCCCCCAGGGATCAGTGCTGGGCCCACTCCTGTTTAACATCTTTATCGATGACCTAGATGAGGGATTGAGTCCATCATCAGCAAATTTGCTGATGACACCAAGTTGGGAGGGAGTGTCAACCTACCAGAAGGCAGGAGGGCTCTGCAGAGGGACCTGGATAGACTGGAGAGATGGGCTGACTCCAATGGGATGAAGTTCAACAAGGCCAAGTGCCGGGTCCTGCACTTTGGCCACAACAACCCCTGCAGCGCTACAGGCTGGGGACAGAGTGGTTGGAGAGCAGCCAGGCGGAAAGGGACCTGGGGGTGCTGATTGACAGGAAGCTGAACATGAGCCAGCAGTGTGCCCAGGTGGCCAAGAAAGCAAATGGCATCCTGGCCTGCATCAAGAACAGTGTGGCCAGCAGGAGCAGGGAAGTGATCCTTCCCTGTACTCTGCGTTGGTGAGGCCACACCTTGAGTATTGTGTTCAGCTCTGGGCCCCTCAGTTCAGGAAGGATATTGAGGTGCTGGAACGGGTCCAGAGAAGAGCAACCAGGCTGGTGAAGGGACTTGAGCACAAGTCCTATGAAGAGAGGCTGAGGGAGCTGGGATTGTTTAGTCTAGAGAAGAGAAGGCTTAGAGGTGACCTCATCACTCTCTTCAACTACCTGAAGGGAAGTTATAGCCAGGTGGGGGTTGGTCTCTTCTCCCAGGCAACCAACAACAGGACAAGGGGACATGGGCTCAAGCTCTGCCAGGGAAGTTTAGGTTAGATGTTAGGAAGAAATTCTTTACAGAGAGGGTGATCAGGCATTGAACGGCCTGCCCAGAGAGGTGGTGGATTCACCATCCCTGGAAGTTTTTAAAAGAGATTGGACATGGCCCTTAGTGCCATGATATAGTAATTAGAGTTGGATCAGGGGTTGGACTTGATGATCTTGGAGGTCTTTTCCAACCCAATCTATTCTATGATGATTCTATGATTCTAAGAACCTAGGGACTGCCGGAAGCCCTGAGGCAGCTGAAGGGACATGCTTTTGGAAGGTGGATTGACAGTCTCGTCTCTCTGCAAGATAAGTAGGGGACTCTGAGGCAGAGAGGGGATGAGAGCTGGGTACAGGCTTGGGAATTGCCATGAGGGCTTTTGAAATCAGCGTAGGGAACGGAATGTTTAAGAAGAAGTCCCTTAGGAGAGGGAAGCAGAGAGGCTGAGTATTACAGGCAGCACTAGGGTGTGCAGGGCAGAGCATAGCATATCCCCATGTAACATTTTTGTGAGTCTGTCTTTGCAGTTCTTACAGGTCCTTCTTGTCAGAGGTCATTGTGTGAACCTCTCTTTGTTCTTTCTTTCGAGGTGGGATGCAAGCGTTTGTTTGGGCTATCGGCACCGGAGGGCAGACGAGCAAGGTCAGCATTTTCCATCCAGCCTGTATCCAAAGTTTTCTCTGGCCCTTCTTGTCAGTGGTCATTCTATGAGAGTGTTTTTGCTCTTTTGTTTCGAGGTGGGATGCAAGCGTTGGTTTGGGCTATCGGCACCAGAGGGCAGACGAACAAGGTGAGCATTTTCCTGCCACCCAGAATCCAAGTTTATCTCCAACCCTTCTTGTCAGTGCTCATTCTGTGAGCATCCTTTTGTTCTTTCTTTCATGTCGGGATGCAGGTCGTTTTTGGGGCTAACAGCACTGGAGTACAGACAAATAAGGTCAGCATTTTCCTGCCAGTAAGAATCAGAAGGTACTTCTAGCGTGTTGAAATTTTGGTGAATCTAAGCACATCCTTTGCCATTTGCTTTTTTTCTGATGGTGCACAACCTGGCAAGCATGAGCAGAATGGGAAGGAGGTCCTTGCAGTAAGAGGTGAGCGTAAAGGAAGCGGAGAGGGGAACTTTGGTCAGAATGTCGCACTCGGAGGGGATCCGTCTGGATTTGCTTTTGCCTCTGTGATTTCTTTGCAGTGCCCATCCGTATTGCCAGAGGAGCAGAGCCACGGGTCGAGGAGCCGAGCGACAAGCTCAGGTGCTCTTCTGCTGGCCTTGTGGGCAATGGCAGGGACTTCAGGCCTGGGCATTTAAGCATTGCCCTCTTCTCTTTTGAGGGGCCAGCCCGGTAACCTTTGGCAAGAAATGAGCGTCCCGGGTGAGTCGGGGAGGTATCGAGGAGGAGCAGGGGTCCAGGGAAGGGTCAGAAATGCCACTGAAAGCTTTTGTTCCCTGTTCCAGGTGTGCCATGCAGTGGGAGCTGCACCTCTTGCTGAAGACAGTGACACAAGGAGGTGGGTGCACTTAGGAGACGGTGAGTGTGGGAACGGTTGGCGTTTGGCCGATGTGCTGCTAAAGTCATGCACTGATTTTGGTTTCCTTTCTTGGAGCTGACAAAGAGAAGAACCCAGGGACTGCAGGAAGCCCTGAGGCAGCTGAAGGAACATGCTTTTGGAAGGTGGATTGACAGTCTCGTCTCTCTGCAAGATAAGTAGGGGACTCTGAGGCAGAGAGGGGATGAGAGCTGGGTACAGGCTTGGGAATTGCCATGAGGGCTTTTGAAATCAGCGTAGGGAACGGAATGTTTAAGAAGAAGTCCCTTAGGAGAGGGAAGCAGAGAGGCTGAGTGTTACAGGCAGCACTAGGGTGTGCAGGGCAGAGCATAGCATATCCCCCATGTAACATTTTTGTGAGTCTGTCTTTGCAGTTCTTACAGGTCCTTCTTGTCAGAGGTCATTGTGTGAGCCTCTCTTTGTTCTTTCTTTCGAGGTGGGATGCAAGCGTTGGTTTGGGCTATCGGCACCCGAGGGCAGACGAACAATGACAGTATTTTCCATCCAGCCTGCATCCAAAGTTTTCTCTAGCCCTTCTTGTCAGTGGTCATTCTATGAGAGTGTTTTTGCTCTTTTGTTTCGAGGTGGGATGCAAGCGTTGGTTTGGGCTATCGGCACCAGAGGGCAGGCGAACAAGGTGAGCATTTTCCTGCCACCCAGAATCCAAGTTTATCTCCAACCCTTCTTGTCAGTGCTCATTCTGTGAGCATCCTTTTGTTCTTTCTTTCAGGTGGGATGCAGGTGGTTGTTGGGGCTAACAGCACTGGAGTACAGACAAATAAGGTCAGCATTTTCCTGCAAGTAAGAATCACAAGGTACTTCTAGCGTGTTGAAATTTTGGTGAATCTAAGCACATCCTTTGCCATTTGCTTTTTTTCTGATGGTGCACAACCTGGCAAGCATGAGCAGAATGGGAAGGAGGTCCTTGCAGTAAGAGGTGAGCATAAAGGAACCGGAGAGGGGAACTTTGGTCAGAATGTCGCACTCGGAGGAGATCCGTCTGGATTTGCTTTTGCCTCTGTGATTTCTTTGCAGTGCCCATCCGTATTGCCAGAGGAGCAGAGCCATGGGTCGAGAAGCCAAGCGACAAGCTCAGGTGCTCTTCTGCTGGCCTTGTGGGCAATGGCAGGGTCTTCAGGCCTGGGCATTTAAGCATTGCCCTCTTCTCTTTTGAGGGGCCAGCCCGGTAACCTTTGGCAAGAAATGAGCGTCCCAGGTGAGTCGGGGAGGTATCGAGGAGGAGCAGGGGTCAAGGGAAGGGTCAGAAATGCCACTGAAAGCTTTTGTTCCCTGTTCCAGGTGTGCCATGCAGTGGGAGCTGCAAGCTGCACCTCTTGCTGAAGACAGTGACACAAGGAGGTGGGTGCACTTAGGAGACGGTGAGTGTGGGAACGGTTGGCGTTTGGCCGATGTGCTGCTAAAGTCATGCACTGATTTTGGTTTCCTTTCTTGGAGCTGACGAAGAGAAGAACCCAGGGACTGCAGGAAGCCCTGAGGCAGCTGAAGGGACATGCTTTTGGAAGGTGGATTGACAGTCTCGTCTCTCTGCAAGATAAGTAGGGGACTCTGAGGCAGAGAGGGGATGAGAGCTGGGTACAGGCTTGGGAATTGCCATGAGGGCTTTTGAAATCAGCGTAGGGAACGGAATGTTTAAGAAGAAGTCCCTTAGGAGAGGGAAGCAGAGAGGCTGAGTGTTACAGGCAGCACTAGGGTATGCAGGGCAGAGCACAGTATATCCCCCATGTAACATTTTTGTGAGTGTGTCTTTGCAGTTCTTACAGGTCCTTCTTATCAGAGGTCATTGTGTGAACCTCTCTTTGTTCTTTCTTTCGAGGTGGGATGCAAGCGTTTGTTTGGCCTATCGGCACCGGAGGGCAGACGAGCAAGGTCAGCATTTTCCATCCAGCCTGTATCCAAAGTTTTCTCTGGCCCTTCTTGTCAGTGGTCATTCTATGAGAGTGTTTTTGCTCTTTTGTTTCGAGGTGGGATGCAAGCGTTGGTTTGGGCTATCGGCACCAGAGGGCAGACGAACAAGGTGAGCATTTTCCTGCCACCCAGAATCCAAGTTTATCTCCAACCCTTCTTGTCAGTGCTCATTCTGTGAGCATCCTTTTGTTCTTTCTTTCAGGATGGGATGCAGGTGGTTGTTGGGGCTAAGAGCACTGGAGTACAGACAAATAAGGTCAGCATTTTCCTGCCAGTAAGAATCAGAAGGTACTTCTAGCGTGTGGAAATTTTGGTGAATCTAAGCACATCCTTTGCCATTTTCTTTTTTTCTGATGGTGCACAACCTGGCAAGCATGAGCAGAATGGGAAGGAGGTCCTTGCAGTAAGAGGTGAGCGTAAAGGAAGCGGAGAGGGGAACTTTGGTCAGAATGTCGCACTCGGAGGAGATCCGTCTGGATTTGCTTTTGCCTCTGTGATTTCTTTGCAGTGCTCATCCGTATTGCCAGAGGAGCAGAGGCACGGGTCGAGGAGCCGAGCGACAAGCTCAGGTGCTCTTCTGCTGGCCTTGTGGGCAATGGCAGGGACTTCAGGCCTGGGCATTTAAGCATTGCCCTCTTCTCTTTTGAGGTGCCAGCCCGGTAACCTTTGGCAAGAAATGAGCGTCCCAGGTGAGTCGGGGAGGTATCGAGGAGGAGCAGGGGTCAAGGGAAGGGTCAGAAATGCCACTGAAAGCTTTTGTTCCCTGTTCCAGGTGTGCCATGCAGTGGGAGCTGCAAGCTGCACCTCTTGCTGAAGACAGTGACACAAGGAGGTGGGTGCACTTAGGAGACGGTGAGTGTGGGAATGGTTGGCGTTTGGCCGATGTGCTGCTAAAGTCATGCACTGATTTTGGTTTCCTTTCTTGGAGCTGACAAAGAGAAGAACCCAGAGACTGCAGGAAGGCCTGAGGCAGCTGAAGGGACATGCTTTTGGAAGGTGGATTGACAGTCTCGTCTCTCTGCAAGATAAGTAGGGGACTCTGAGGCAGAGAGGGGATGAGAGCTGGGTACAGGCTTGGGAATTGCCATGAGGGCTTTTGAAATCAGCGTAGGGAACGGAATGTTTAAGATGAAGTCCCCTAGGAGAGGGAAGCAGAAAGGCTGAGTGTTACAGGCAGCACTTGGGTGTGCAGGGCAGAGCATAGCATATCCCCCATGTAACATTTTTGTGAGTCTGTCTTTGCAGTTCTTACAGGCCCTTCTTGTCAGAGGTCATTGTGTGAACCTCTCTTTGTTCTTTCTTTCGAGGTGGGATGCAAGCGTTTGTTTGGGCTATCGGCACCGGAGGGCAGGCGAGCAAGGTCAGCATTTTCCATCCAGCCTGTATCCAAAGTTTTCTCTTGCCCTTCTTGTCAGTGGTCATTCTATGAGAGTGTTTTTGCTCTTTTGTTTCGAGGTGGGATGCAAGCGTTGGTTTGGGCTATCGGCACCAGAGGGCAGGCGAACAAGGTGAGCATTTTCCTGCCACCCAGAATCCAAGTTTATCTCCAACCCTTCTTGTCAGTGCTCATTCTGTGAGCATCCTTTTGTTCTTTCTTTCAGGATGGGATGCAGGTGGTTGTTGGGGCTAACAGCACTGGAGTACAGACAAATAAGGTCAGCATTTTCCTGCCAGTAAGAATCAGAAGGTACTTCTAGCGTGTTGAAATTTTGGTGAATGTAAGCACATCCTTTGCCATTTGCTTTTTTTCTGATGGTGCACAACCTGGCAAGCATGAGCAGAATGGGAAGGAGGTCCTTGCAGTAAGAGGTGAGCGTAAAGGAAGCGGAGAGGGGAACTTTGGTCAGAATGTCGCACTCGGAGGGGATCCGTCTGGATTTGCTTTTGCCTCTGTGATTTCTTTGCAGTGCCCATCCGTATTGCCAGAGGAGCAGAGCCACGGGTCGAGAGCCGAGCGACAAGCTCAGGTGCTCTTCTGCTGGCCTTGTGGGCAATGGCAGGGACTTCAGGCCTGGGCATTTAAGCATTGCCCTCTTCTCTTTTGAGGTGCCAGCCCGGTAACCTTTGGCAAGAAATGAGCGTCCCAGGTGAGTCGGGGAGGTATCGAGGAGGAGCAGGGGTCCAGGGAAGGGTCAGAAATGCCACTGAAAGCTTTTGTTCCCTGTTCCAGGTGTGCCATGCAGTGGGAGCTGCAAGCTGCATTTCTTGCTGAAGACAGTGACACAAGGAGGTGGGTGCACTTAGGAGACGGTGAGTGTGGGAACGGTTGGCGTTTGGCCGATGTGCTGCTAAAGTCATGCACTGATTTTGGTTTCCTTTCTTGGAGCTGACAAAGAGAAGAACCCAGGGACTGCAGGAAGCCCTGAGGCAGCTGAAGGGACATGCTTTTGGAAGGTGGATTGACAGTCTCGTCTCTCTGCAAGATAAGTGGGGGACTCTGAGGCAGAGAGGGGATGAGAGCTGGGTACAGGCTTGGGAATTGCCATGAGGGCTTTTGAAATCAGCGTAGGGAACGGAATGTTTAAGAAGAAGTCCCTTAGGAGAGGGAAGCAGAGAGGCTGAGTATTACAGGCAGCACTAGGGTGTGCAGGGCAGAGCATAGCATATCCCCCATGTAACATTTTTGTGAGTCTGTCTTTGCAGTTCTTACAGGTCCTTCTTGTCAGAGGTCATTGTGTGAACCTCTCTTTGTTCTTTCTTTCGAGGTGGGATGCAAGCGTTTGTTTGGGCTATCGGCACCGGAGGGCAGGCGAGCAAGGTCAGCATTTTCCATCCAGCCTGTATCCAAAGTTTTCTCTGGCCCTTCTTGTCAGTGGTCATTCTATGAGAGTGTTTTGCTCTTTTGTTTCGAGGTGGGATGCAAGCGTTGGTTTGGGCTATCGGCACCAGAGGGCAGACGAACAAGGTGAGCATTTTCCTGCCACCCAGAATCCAAGTTTATCTCCAACCCTTCTTGTCAGTGCTCATTCTGTGAGCATCCTTTTGTTCTTTCTTTCAGGTCGGGATGCAGGTCGTTTTTGGGGCTAACAGCACTGGAGTACAGACAAATAAGGTCAGCATTTTCCTGCCAGTAAGAATCAGAAGGTACTTCTAGCGTGTTGAAATTTTGGTGAATGTAAGCACATCCTTTGCCATTTGCTTTTTTTCTGATGGTGCACAACCTGGCAAGCATGAGCAGAATGGGAAGGAGGTCCTTGCAGTAAGAGGTGAGCGTAAAGGAAGCAGAGAGGGGAACTTTGGTCAGAATGTCGCACTCGGAGGGGATCCGTCTGGATTTGCTTTTGCCTCTGTGATTTCTTTGCAGTGCCCATCCGTATTGCCAGAGGAGCAGAGCCACGGGTCGAGGAGCCGAGCGACAAGCTCAGGTGCTCTTCTGCTGGCCTTGTGGGCAATGGCAGGGACTTCAGGCCTGGGCATTTAAGCATTGCCCTCTTCTCTTTTGAGGTGCCAGCCCGGTAACCTTTGGCAAGAAATGAGCGTCCCAGGTGAGTCGGGGAGGTATCGAGGAGGAGCAGGGGTCCAGGGAAGGGTCAGAAATGCCACTGAAAGCTTTTGTTCCCTGTTCCAGGTGTGCCATGCAGTGGGAGCTGCAAGCTGCACCTCTTGCTGAAGACAGTGACACAAGGAGGTGGGTGCACTTAGGAGACGGTGAGTGTGGGAACGGTTGGGGTTTGGCCGATGTGCTGCTAAAGTCATGCACTGATTTTGGTTTCCTTTCTTGGAGCTGACAAAGAGAAGAACCCAGGGACTGCAGGAAGGCCTGAAGCAGCTGAAGGGACATGCTTTCAGAGGGTGGATTGACAGTCTCGTCTCTCTGCAAGATAAGTGGGGGGACACTGAGGCAGAGAGGGGATGAGAGCTGGGTACAGGCTTGGGAATTGCCATGAGGGCTTTTGAAATCAGCGTAGGGAACGGAATGTTTAAGAAGAAGTCCCTTAGGAGAGGGAAGCAGAGAGGCTGAGTATTACAGGCAGCACTAGGGTGTGCAGGGCAGAGCATAGCATATCCCCCTTGTAACATTTTTGTGAGTCTGTCTTTGCAGTTCTTACAGGCCCTTCTTGTCAGAGGTCATTGTGTGAACCTCTCTTTGTTCTTTCTTTCGAGGTGGGATGCAAGCGTTGGTTTGGGCTATCGGCACCGGAGGGCAGACGAGCAAGGTCAGCATTTTCCATCCAGCCTGTATCCAAAGTTTTCTCTGGCCCTTCTTGTCAGTGGTCATTCTATGAGAGTGTTTTTGCTCTTTTGTTTCGAGGTGGGATGCAAGCGTTGGTTTGGGCTATCGGCACCGGAGGGCAGACGAACAAGGTGAGCATTTTCCTGCCACCCAGAATCCATGTTTATCTCCAACCCTTCTTGTCAGTGCTCATTCTGTGAGCATCTTTTTGTTCTTTCTTTCATGTCGGGATGCAGGTGGTTGTTGGGGCTAACAGCACTGGAGTACAGACAAATAAGGTCAGCATTTTCCTGCCAGTAAGAATCAGAAGGTACTTCTAGCGTGTTGAAATTTTGGTGAATGTAAGCACATCCTTTGCCATTTGCTTTTTTTCTGATGGTGCACAACCTGGCAAGCATGAGCAGAATGGGAAGGAGGTCCTTGCAGTAAGAGGTGAGCATAAAGGAACCGGAGAGGGGAACTTTGGTCAGAATGTCGCACTCGGAGGAGATCCGTCTGGATTTGCTTTTGCCTCTGTGATTTCTTTGCAGTGCCCATCCGTATTGCCAGAGGAGCAGAGCCACGGGTCGAGGAGCCGAGCGACAAGCTCAGGTGCTCTTCTGCTGGCCTTGTGGGCAATGGCAGGGACTTCAGGCCTGGGCATTTAAGCATTGCCCTCTTCTCTTTTGAGGTGCCAGCCCGGTAACCTTTGGCAAGAAATGAGCGTCCCAGGTGAGTCGGGGAGGTATCGAGGAGGAGCAGGGGTCAAGGGAAGGGTCAGAAATGCCACTGAAAGCTTTTGTTCCCTGTTCCAGGTGTGCCATGCAGTGGGAGCTGCAAGCTGCACCTCTTGCTGAAGACAGTGACACAAGGAGGTGGGTGCACTTAGGAGACGGTGAGTGTGGGAACGGTTGGCGTTTGGCCGATGTGCTGCTAAAGTCATGCACTGATTTTGGTTTCCTTTCTTGGACCTGATGAAGAGAAGAACCCAGGGACTGCCGGAAGCCCTGAGGCAGCTGAAGGGACATGCTTTTGGAAGGTGGATTGACAGTCTCGTCTCTCTGCAAGATAAGTAGGGGGGTTCTGAGGCAGAGAGGGGATGAGAGCTGGGTACAGGCTTGGGAATTGCCATGAGGGCTTTTGAAATCAGCGTAGGGAACGGAATGTTTAAGATGAAATCCCCTAGGAGAGGGAAGCAGAGAGGCTGAGTATTACAGGCAGCACTAGGGTGTGCAGGGCAGAGCATAGCATATCCCCCATGTAACATTTTTGTGAGTCTGTCTTTGCAGTTCTTACAGGCCCTTCTTGTCAGAGGTCATTGTGTGAACCTCTCTTTGCTCTTTCTTTCGAGGTGGGATGCAAGCGTTTGTTTGGGCTATCGGCACCGGAGGGCAGACGAGCAAGGTCAGCATTTTCCATCCAGCCTGTATCCAAAGTTTTCTCTGGCCCTTCTTGTCAGTGGTCATTCTATGAGAGTGTTTTTGCTCTTTTGTTTCGAGGTGGGATGCAAGCGTTGGTTTGGGCTATCGGCACCAGAGGGCAGACGAACAAGGTGAGCATTTTCCTGCCACCCAGAATCCAAGTTTATCTCCAACCCTTCTTGTCAGTGCTCATTCTGTGAGCATCCTTTTGTTCTTTCTTTCAGGATGGGATGCAGGTGGTTGTTGGGGCTAACAGCACTGGAGTGCAGACAAAATAAGGTCATCATTTTCCTGCCAGTAAGAATCAGAAGGTACTTCTAGCGTGTTGAAATTTTGGTGAATGTAAGCACATCCTTTGCCATTTGCTTTTTTTCTGACGGTGCACAACCTGGCAAGCATGAGCAGAATGGGAAGGAAGTCCTTGCAGTAAGAGGTGAGCATAAAGGAACCTGAGAGGGGAACTTTGGTCAGAATGTCGCACTCGGAGGAGATCCGTCTGGATTTGCTTTTGCCTCTGTGATTTCTTTGCAGTGCCCATCCGTATTGCCAGAGGAGCAGAGCCACGGGTCGAGGAGCCGAGCGACAAGCTCAGGTGCTCTTCTGCTGGCCTTGTGGGCAATGGCAGGGACTTCAGGCCTGGGCATTTAAGCATTGCCCTCTTCTCTTTTGAGGGGCCAGCCCGGTAACCTTTGGCAAGAAATGAGCGTCCCAGGTGAGTCGGGAGGTATCGAGGAGGAGCAGGGGTCAAGGGAAGGGTCAGAAATGCCACTGAAAGCTTTTGTTCCCTGTTCCAGGTGTGCCATGCAGTGGGAGCTGCAAGCTGCACCTCTTGCTGAAGACAGTGACACAAGGAGGTGGGTGCACTTAGGAGACGGTGAGTGTGGGAACGGTTGGCGTTTGGCCGATGTGCTGCTAAAGTCATGCACTGATTTTGGTTTCCTTTCTTGGAGATGACAAAGAGAAGAACCCAGGGACTTCAGGAAGCCCTGAGGCAGCTGAAGGGACATGCTTTTGGAAGGTGGATTGACAGTCTCGTCTCTCTGCAAGATAAGTGGGGGGTTCTGAGGCAGAGAGGGGATGAGAGCTGGGTACAGGCTTGGGAATTGCCATGAGGGCTTTTGAAATCAGCGTAGGGAACGGAATGTTTAAGAAGAAGTCCCTTAGGAGAGGGAAGCAGAGAGGCTGAGTGTTACAGGCAGCACTAGGGTGTGCAGGGCAGAGCATAGCATATCCCCCATGTAACATTTTTGTGAGTCTGTCTTTGCAGTTCTTAGAGGCCCTTCTTGTCAGAGGTCATTGTGTGAACCTCTCTTTGCTCTTTCTTTCGAGGTGGGATGCAAGCGTTTGTTTGGCCTATCGGCACCGGAGGGCAGACGAGCAAGGTCAGCATTTTCCATCCAGCCTGTATCCAAAGTTTTCTCTGGCCCTTCTTGTCAGTGGTCATTCTATGAGAGTGTTTTTGCTCTTTTGTTTCGAGGTGGGATGCAAGCGTTGGTTTTGGGCTATCGGCACCAGAGGGCAGGCGAACAAGGTGAGCATTTTCCTGCCACCCAGAATCCAAGTTTATCTCCAACCCTCCTTGTCAATGCTCATTCTGTGAGCATCCTTTTGTTCTTTCTTTCATGTCGGGATGCAGGCGGTTGTTGGGGCTAACAGCGCTGGAGTGCAGACAAAAAAGGTCAGCATTTTCCTGCCAGTAAGAATCAGAAGGTACTTCTAGCGTGTTGAAATTTTGGTGAATCTAAGCACATCCTTTGCCATTTGCTTTTTTTCTGATGGTGCACAACCTGGCAAGCATGAGCAGAATGGGAAGGAGGTCCTTGCAGTAAGAGGTGAGCATAAAGGAACCGGAGAGGGGAACTTTGGTCAGAATGTCGCACTCGGAGGAGATCCGTCTGGATTTGTTTTTGCCTCTGTGATTTCTTTGCAGTGCCCATCCATATTGCCAGAGGAGCAGAGCCACGGGTCGAGGAGCCGAGCGACAAGCTCAGGTGCTCTTCTGCTGGCCTTGTGGGCAATGGCAGGGACTTCAGGCCTGGGCATTTAAGCATTGCCCTCTTCTCTTTTGAGGTGCCAGCCCAGTAACCTTTGGCAAGAAATGAGCGTCCCAGGTGAGTCGGGGAGGTATCGAGGAGGAGCAGGGGTCCAGGGAAGGGTCAGAAATGCCACTGAAAGCTTTTGTTCCCTGTTCCAGGTGTGCCATGCAGTGGGAGCTGCAAGCTGCACCTCTTGCTGAAGACAGTGACACAAGGAGGTGGGTGCACTTAGGAGACGGTGAGTGTGGGAACGGTTGGCGTTTGGCCGATGTGCTGCTAAAGTCATGCACTGATTTTGGTTTCCTTTCTTGGAGATGACAAAGAGAAGAACCCAGGGACTGCCGGAAGCCCTGAGGCAGCTGAAGGGACATGCTTTTGGAAGGTGGATTGACAGTCTCGCTCTCTGCAAGATAAGTAGGGGACTCTGAGGCAGAGAGGGGATGAGAGCTGGGTACAGGCTTGGGAATTGCCATGAGGGCTTTTGAAATCAGCGTAGGGAACGGAATGTTTAAGAAGAAGTCCCTTAGGAGAGGGAAGCAGAGAGGCTGAGTGTTACAGGCAGCACTAGGGTGTGCAGGGCAGAGCATAGCATATCCCCCATGTAACATTTTTGTGAGTCTGTCTTTGCAGTTCTTAGAGGCCCTTCTTGTCAGAGGTCATTGTGTGAACCTCTCTTTGCTCTTTCTTTCGAGGTGGGATGCAAGCGTTTGTTTGGGCTATCGGCACCGGAGGGCAGACGAGCAAGGTCAGCATTTTCCATCCAGCCTGTATCCAAAGTTTTCTCTGGCCCTTCTTGTCAGTGGTCATTCTATGAGAGTGTTTTTGCTCTTTGTTTCGAGGTGGGATGCAAGCGTTGGTTTGGGCTATCGGCACCAGAGGGCAGACGAACAAGGTGAGCATTTTCCTGCCACCCAGAATCCAAGTTTATCTCCAACCCTTCTTGTCAGTGCTCATTCTGTGAGCATCCTTTTGTTCTTTCTTTCAGGTCGGGATGCAGGTGGTTTTTGGGGCTAACAGCACTGGAGTGCAGACAAAAAGGTCAGCATTTTCCTGCCAGTAAGAATCAGAAGGTACTTCTAGCGTGTTGAAATTTTGGTGAATCTAAGCACATCCTTTGCCATTTGCTTTTTTTCTGATGGTGCACAACCTGGCAAGCATGAGCAGAATGGGAAGGAGGTCCTCGCAGTAAGAGGTGAGCATAAAGGAACCGGAGAGGGGAACTTTGGTCAGAATATCGCACTCGGAGGGGATCCGTCTGGATTTGCTTTTGCCTCTGTGATTTCTTTGCAGTGCCCATCCGTATTGCCAGAGGAGCAGAGCCACGGGTCGAGGAGCCGAGCGACAAGCTCAGGTGCTCTTCTGCTGGCCTTGTGGGCAATGGCAGGGACTTCAGGCCTGGGCATTTAAGCATTGCCCTCTTCTCTTTTGAGGGGCCAGCCCGGTAACCTTTGGCAAGAAATGAGCGTCCCAGGTGAGTCGGGGAGGTATCGAGGAGGAGCAGGGGTCAAGGGAAGGGTCAGAAATGCCACTGAAAGCTTTTGTTCCCTGTTCCAGGTGTGCCATGCAGTGGGAGCTGCAAGCTGCACCTCTTGCTGAAGACAGTGACACAAGGAGGTGGGTGCACTTAGGAGACGGTGAGTGTGGGAATGGTTGGCGTTAGGCCGATGTGCTGCTAAAGTCATGCACTGATTTTGGTTTCTTTCTTGGAGATGACAAAGAGAAGAACCCAGGGACTGCCGGAAGCCCTGAGGCAGCTGAAGGGACATGCTTTTGGAAGGTGGATTGACAGTCTCGTCTCTCTGCAAGATAAGTAGGGGACTCTGAGGCAGAGAGGGGATGAGAGCTGGGTACAGGCTTGGGAATTGCCATGAGGGCTTTTGAAATCAGCGTAGGGAACGGAATGTTTAAGAAGAAGTCCCTTAGGAGAGGGAAGCAGAGAGGCTGAGTATTACAGGCAGCACTAGGGTGTGCAGGGCAGAGCATAGCATATCCCCCATGTAACATTTTTGTGAGTCTGTCTTTGCAGTTCTTACAGGCCCTTCTTGTCAGAGGTCATTGTGTGAACCTCTCTTTGCTCTTTCTTTCGAGGTGGGATGCAAGCGTTTGTTTGGCCTATCGGCACCGGAGGGCAGACGAGCAAGGTCAGCATTTTCCATCCAGCCTGTATCCAAAGTTTTCTCTGGCCCTTCTTGTCAGTGGTCATTCTATGAGAGTGTTTTTGCTCTTTTGTTTCGAGGTGGGATGCAAGCGTTGGTTTGGGCTATCGGCACCAGAGGGCAGACGAACAAGGTGAGCATTTTCCTGCCACCCAGAATCCAAGTTTATCTCCAACCCTTCTTGTCAGTGCTCATTCTGTGAGCATCCTTTTGTTCTTTCTTTCAGGTCGGGATGCAGGTGGTTTTTGGGGCTAACAGCACTGGAGTGCAGACAAAAAAGGTCAGCATTTTCCTTCCATTAAGAATCAGAAGGTACTTCTAGCGTGTTGAAATTTTGTGAATCTAAGCACATCCTTTGCCATTTGCTTTTTTTCTGATGGTGCACAACCTGGCAAGCATGAGCAGAATGGGAAGGAGGTCCTCGCAGTAAGAGGTGAGCATAAAGGAACCGGAGAGGGGAACTTTGGTCAGAATGTCGCACTCGGAGGAGATCCGTCTGGATTTGCTTTTGCCTCTGTGATTTCTTTGCAGTGCCCATCCGTATTGCCAGAGGAGCAGAGCCACGGGTCGAGGAGCCGAGCGACAAGCTCAGGTGCTCTTCTGCTGGCCTTGTGGGCAATGGCAGGGACTTCAGGCCTGGGCATTTAAGCATTGCCCTCTTCTCTTTGAGGTGCCAGCCCGGTAACCTTTGGCAAGAAATGAGCGTCCCAGGTGAGTCGGGGAGGTATCGAGGAGGAGCAGGGGTCAAGGGAAGGGTCAGAAATGCCACTGAAAGCTTTTGTTCCCTGTTCCAGGTGTGCCATGCAGTGGGAGCTGCAAGCTGCACCTCTTGCTGAAGACAGTGACACAAGGAGGTGGGTGCACTTAGGAGACGGTGAGTGTGGGAATGGTTGGCGTTTGGCCGATGTGCTGCTAAAGTCATGCACTGATTTTGGTTTCCTTTCTTGGAGATGACAAAGAGAAGAACCCAGGGACTGCCGGAAGCCCTGAGGCAGCTGAAGGGACATGCTTTTGGAAGGTGGATTGACAGTCTCGTCTCTCTGCAAGATAAGTGGGGGACTCTGAGGCAGAGAGGGGATGAGAGCTGGGTACAGGCTTGGGAATTGCCATGAGGGCTTTTGAAATCAGCGTAGGGAACGGAATGTTTAAGAAGAAGTCCCTTAGGAGAGGGAAGCAGAGAGGCTGAGTGTTACAGGCAGCACTAGGGTGTGCAGGGCAGAGCATAGCATATCCCCCATGTAACATTTTTGTGAGTCTGTCTTTGCAGTTCTTAGAGGCCCTTCTTGTCAGAGGTCATTGTGTGAACCTCTCTTTGCTCTTTCTTTCGAGGTGGGATGCAAGCGTTTGTTTGGCCTATCGGCACCGGAGGGCAGACGAGCAAGGTCAGCATTTTCCATCCAGCCTGTATCCAAAGTTTTCTCTGGCCCTTCTTGTCAGTGGTCATTCTATGAGAGTGTTTTTGCTCTTTGTTTCGAGGTGGGATGCAAGCGTTGGTTTGGGCTATCGGCACCAGAGGGCAGACGAACAAGGTGAGCATTTTCCTGCCACCCAGAATCCAAGTTTATCTCCAACCCTTCTTGTCAGTGCTCATTCTGTGAGCATCCTTTTGTTCTTTCTTTCAGGTCGGGATGCAGGCGGTTTTTGGGGCTAACAGCACTGGAGTGCAGACAAAAAAGGTCAGCATTTTCCTGCCAGTAAGAATCAGAAGGTACGTCTAGCGTGTTGAAATTTTGGTGAATCTAAGCACATCCTTTGCCATTTGCTTTTTTTCTGATGGTGCACAACCTGGCAAGCATGAGCAGAATGGGAAGGAGGTCCTTGCAGTAAGAGGTGAGCATAAAGGAACCGGAGAGGGGAACTTTGGTCAGAATATCGCACTCGGAGGAGATCCGTCTGGATTTGCTTTTGCCTCTGTGATTTCTTTGCAGTGCTCATCCGTATTGCCAGAGGAGCAGAGCCACGGGTCGAGGAGCCGAGCGACAAGCTCAGGTGCTCTTCTGCTGGCCTTGTGGGCAATGGCAGGGACTTCAGGCCTGGGCATTTAAGCATTGCCCTCTTCTCTTTGGAGGTGCCAGCCCGGTAACCTTTGGCAAGAAATGAGCGTCCCAGGTGAGTCGGGAGGTATCGAGGAGGAGCAGGGGTCAAGGGAAGGGTCAGAAATGCCACTGAAAGCTTTTGTTCCCGGTTCCAGGTGTGCCATGCAGTGGGAGCTGCAAGCTGCACCTCTTGCTGAAGACAGTGACACAAGGAGGTGGGTGCACTTAGGAGACGGTGAGTGTGGGAATGGTTGGCGTTTGGCCGATGTGCTGCTAAAGTCATGCACTGATTTTGGTTTCCTTTCTTGGAGATGACAAAGAGAAGAACCCAGGGACTGCCGGAAGCCCTGAGGCAGCTGAAGGGACATGCTTTTGGAAGGTGGATTGACAGTCTCGTCTCTCTGCAAGATAAGTAGGGGACTCTGAGGCAGAGAGGGGATGAGAGCTGGGTACAGGCTTGGGAATTGCCATGAGGGCTTTTGAAATCAGCGTAGGGAACGGAATGTTTAAGAAGAAGTCCCCTAGGAGAGGGAAGCAGAGAGGCTGAGTATTACAGGCAGCACTAGGGTGTGCAGGGCAGAGCATAGCATATCCCCCATGTAACATTTTTGTGAGTCTGTCTTTGCAGTTCTTACAGGTCCTTCTTGTCAGAGGTCATTGTGTGAACCTCTCTTTGTTCTTTCTTTCGAGGTGGGATGCAAGCGTTTGTTTGGGCTATCGGCACCGGAGGGCAGACGAGCAAGGTCAGCATTTTCCATCCAGCCTGTATCCAAAGTTTTCTCTGGAATTTTTTGTCAGTGGTCATTCTATGAGAGTGTTTTTGCTCTTTTGTTTCGAGGTGGGATGCAAGCGTTGGTTTGGGCTATCGGCACCAGAGGGCAGACGAACAAGGTGAGCATTTTCCTGCCACCCAGAATCCAAGTTTATCTCCAACCCTTCTTGTCTGTGCTCATTCTGTGAGCATCCTTTTGTTCTTTCTTTCAGGTCGGGATGCAGGTGGTTGTTGGGGCTAACAGCACTGGAGTACAGACAAATAAGGTCAGCATTTTCCTGCCAGTAAGAATCAGAAGGTACTTCTAGCGTGTTGAAATTTTGGTGAATCTAAGCACATCCTTTGCCATTTGCTTTTTTTCTGATGGTGCACAACCTGGCAAGCATGAGCAGAATGGGAAGGAGGTCCTTGCAGTAAGAGGTGAGCGTAAAGGAAGCGGAGAGGGGAACTTTGGTCAGAATGTCGCACTCGGAGGGGATCCGTCTGGATTTGCTTTTGCCTCTGTGATTTCTTTGCAGTGCCCATCCGTATTGCCAGAGGAGCAGAGCCACGGGTCGAGGAGCCGAGCGACAAGCTCAGGTGCTCTTCTGCTGGCCTTGTGGGCAATGGCAGGGACTTCAGGCCTGGGCATTTAAGCATTGCCCTCTTCTCTTTTGAGGGGCCAGCCCGGTAACCTTTGGCAAGAAATGAGCGTCCCAGGTGAGTCGGGGAGGTATCGAGGAGGAGCAGGGGTCCAGGGAAGGGTCAGAAATGCCACTGAAAGCTTTTGTTCCCTGTTCCAGGTGTGCCATGCAGTGGGAGCTGCAAGCTGCACCTCTTGCTGAAGACAGTGACACAAGGAGGTGGGTGCACTTAGGAGACGGTGAGTGTGGGAACGGTTGGCGTTTGGCCGATGTGCTGCTAAAGTCATGCACTGATTTTGGTTTCCTTTCTTGGAGCTGACAAAGAGAAGAAGCCAGGGACTGCAGGAAGCCCTGAGGCAGCTGAAGGGACATGCTTTTGGAAGGTGGATTGACAGTCTCGTCTCTCTGCAAGATAAGTGGGGGACTCTGAGGCAGAGAGGGGATGAGAGCTGGGTACAGGCTTGGGAAATGCCATGAGGGCTTTTGAAATCAGCGTAGGGAACGGAATGTTTAAGAAGAAGTCCCTTAGGAGAGGGAAGCAGAGAGGCTGAGTATTACAGGCAGCACTAGGGTGTGCAGGGCAGAGCATAGCATATCCCCCATGTAACATTTTTGTGAGTCTGTCTTTGCAGTTCTTACAGGTCCTTCTTGTCAGAGGTCATTGTGTGAACCTCTCTTTGTTCTTTCTTTTACGGTGGGATGCAAGCGTTTGTTTGGGCTATCGGCACCGGAGGGCAGACGAGCAAGGTCAGCATTTTCCATCCAGCCTGTATCCAAAGTTTTCTCTGGCCCTTCTTGTCAGTGGTCATTCTATGAGAGTGTTTTTGCTCTTTTGTTTCGAGGTGGGATGCAAGCATTGGTTTGGGCTATCGGCACCAGAGGGCAGACGAACAAGGTGAGCATTTTCCTGCCACCCAGAATCCAAGTTTATCTCCAACCCTTCTTGTCAGTGGTCATTCTGTGAACATCCTTTTGTTCTTTGTTTCATGTCGGGATGCAGGCTGTTGCTGGGGCTAACAGCGCTGGAGTACAGACAAATAAGGTCAGCATTTTCCTGCCAGTAAGACTCAGAAGGTACTTCTAGCGTGTGGAAATTTTGGTGAATCTAAGCACATCCTTTGCCATTTGCTTTTTTTCTGATGGTGCACAACCTGGCAAGCATGAGCAGAATGGGAAGGAGGTCCTTGCAGTAAGAGGTGAGCGTAAAGGAAGCGGAGAGGGGAACTTTGGTCAGAATGTCGCACTCGGAGGGGATCCGTCTGGATTTGCTTTTGCCTCTGTGATTTCTTTGCAGTGCCCATCCGTATTGCCAGAGGAGCAGAGCCACGGGTCGAGGAGCCGAGCGACAAGCTCAGGTGCTCTTCTGCTGGCCTTGTGGGCAATGGCAGGGACTTCAGGCCTGGGCATGTAAGCGTTGCCCTCTTCTCTTTTGAGGGGCCAGCCCGGTAACCTTTGGCAAGAAATGAGCATCCCAGGTGAGTCGGGGAGGTATCGAGGAGGAGCAGGGGTCCAGGGAAGGGTCAGAAATGCCACTGAAAGCTTTTGTTCCCTGTTCCAGGTGTGCCATGCAGTGGGAGCTGCAAGCTGCACCTCTTGCTGAAGACAGTGACACAAGGAGGTGGGTGCACTTAGGAGACGGTGAGTGTGGGAACGGTTGGCGTTTGGCCGATGTGCTGCTAAAGTCATGCACTGATTTTACTTTCCTTTCTTGGAGCTGACAAAGAGAAGAACCCAGAGACTGCAGGAAGGCCTGAGGCAGCTGAAGGGACATGCTTTTGGAAGGTGGATTGACAGTCTGATCTCTCTGCAAGATAAGTGAAAGGCTCTGAGGCAGAGAGGGGATGAGAGCTGGGTACAGGCTTGGGAATTGCCATGAGGGCTTTTGAAATCAGCGTAGGGAACGGAATGTTTAAGAAGAAGTCCCTTAGGAGAGGGAAGCAGAGAGGTTGAGTATTACAGGCAGCACAAGGGTGTGCAGGGCAGAGCATAGCATATCCCCCTTGTAACATTTTTGTGAGTCTGTCTTTGCAGTTCTTACAGGTCCTTCTTGTCAGAGGTCATTGTGTGAACCTCTCTTTGTTCTTTCTTTCGAGGTGGGATGCAAGTGTTTGTTTGGGCTATCGGCACCGGAGGGCAGACGAGCAAGGTCAGCATTTTCCATCCAGCCTGTATCCAAAGTTTTCTCTGGCCCTTCTTGTCAGTGGTCATTCTATGAGAGTGTTTTTGCTCTTTTGTTTCGAGGTGGGATGCAAGCGTTGGTTTGGGCTATCGGCACCGGAGGGCAGACGAACAAGGTGAGCATTTTCCTGCCACCCAGAATCCAAGTTTATCTCCAACCCTTCTTGTCAGTGGTCATTCTGTGAGCATCCTTTTGTTCTTTCTTTCAGGTCGGGATGCAGGTGGTTGTTGGGGCTAACAGCACTGGAGTACAGACAAATAAGGTCAGCATTTTCCTGCCAGTAAGAATCAGAAGGTACTTCTAGCGTGTTGAAATTTTGGTGAATCTAAGCACATCCTTTGCCATTTGCTTTTTTTCTGATGGTGCACAACCTGGCAAGCATGAGCAGAATGGGAAGGAGGTCCTTGCCGTAAGAGGTGAGCGTAAAGGAAGCGGAGAGGGGAACTTTGGTCAGAATGTCGCACTCGGAGGGGATCCGTCTGGATTTGCTTTTGCCTCTGTGATTTCTTTGCAGTGCCCATCCGTATTGCCAGAGGAGCAGAGGCACGGGTCGAGGAGCCGAGCGACAAGCTCAGGTGCTCTTCTGCTGGCCTTGTGGGCAATGGCAGGGACTTCAGGCCTGGGCATTTAAGCATTGCCCTCTTCTCTTTGAGGGGCCAGCCCGGTAACCTTTGGCAAGAAATGAGCGTCCCGGGTGAGTCGGGAAGGTATCGAGGAGGAGCAGGGGTCCAGGGAAGGGTCAGAAATGCCACTGAAAGCTTTTGTTCCCTGTTCCAGGTGTGCCATGCAGTGGGAGCTGCACCTCTTGCTGAAGACAGTGACACAAGGAGGTGGGTGCACTTAGGAGACGGTGAGTGTGGGAACGGTTGGCGTTTGGCCGATGTGCTGCTAAAGTCATGCACTGATTTTGGTTTCCTTTCTTGGAGCTGACAAAGAGAAGAAGCCAGGGACTGCAGGAAGCCCTGAGGCAGCTGAAGGGACATGCTTTTGGAAGGTGGATTGACAGTCTCGTCTCTCTGCAAGATAAGTGGGGGACTCTGAGGCAGAGAGGGGATGAGAGCTGGGTACAGGCTTGGGAATTGCCATGAGGGCTTTTGAAATCAGCGTAGGGAACGGAATGCTTAAGAAGAAGTCCCTTAGGAGAGGGAAGAAGAGAGGCTGAGTATTACAAGCAGTACTAGGGTGTGCAGGGCAGAGCATAGCATATCCCCCATGTAACATTTTTGTGAGTCTGTCTTTGCAGTTCTTACAGGTCCTTCTTATCAGAGGTCATTGTGTGAACCTCTCTTTGTTCTTTCTTTTGCGGTGGGATGCAAGCGTTTGTTTGGGCTATCGGCACCCGAGGGCAGACGAGCAAGGTCAGCATTTTCCATCCAGCCTGCATCCAAAGTTTTCTCTTGCCCTTCTTGTCAGTGGTCATTCTATGAGAGTGTTTTTGCTCTTTTGTTTCGAGGTGGGATGCAAGCGTTGGTTTGGGCTATCGGCACCAGAGGGCAGACGAACAAGGTGAGCATTTTCCTGCCACCCAGAATCCATGTTTATCTCCAACCCTTCTTGTCTGTGCTCATTCTGTGAGCATCCTTTTGTTCTTTGTTTCATGTCGGGATGCAGGTGGTTGTTGAGGCTAACAGCACTGGAGTACAGACAAATAAGGTCAGCATTTTCCTGCCAGTAAGAATCAGAAGGTACTTCTAGCGTGTTGAAATTTTGGTGAATCTAAGCACATCCTTTGCCATTTGCTTTTTTTCTGATGGTGCACAACCTGGCAAGCATGAGCAGAATGGGAAGGAGGTCCTTGCAGTAAGAGGTGAGCGTAAAGGAAGTGGAGAGGGGAACTTTGGTCAGAATGTCGCACTCGGAGGGGATCCGTCTGGATTTGCTTTTGCCTCTGTGATTTCATGGCAGTGCCCATCCGTATTGCCAGAGGAGCAGAGCCACGGGTCGAGGAGCCGAGCGACAAGCTCAGGTGCTCTTCTGCTGGCCTTGTGGGCAATGGCAGGGACTTCAGGCCTGGGCATTTAAGCATTGCCCTCTTCTCTTTTGAGGTGCCAGCCCGGTAACCTTTGGCAAGAAATGAGCGTCCCAGGTGAGTCGGGGAGGTATCGAGGAGGAGCAGGGGTCAAGGGAAGGGTCAGAAATGCCACTGAAAGCTTTTGTTCCCTGTTCCAGGTGTGCCATGCAGTGGGAGCTGCTAGCCGCACCTCTTGCTGAAGACAGTGACACAAGGAGGTGGGTGCACTTAGGAGACGGTGAGTGTGGGAACGGTTGGCGTTTGGCCGATGTGCTGCTAAAGTCATGCACTGATTTTGGTTTCCTTTCTTGGAGCTGACAAAGAGAAGATGCATTAGGGAGAGTGAAAAGGAAGTTGACTGTTGGAGTCAAACCCTTTTAAACCCTAAGGAAGTCCAACAGGAGACGGCAAAGCCCTCCCTCTCCTGCCATAAGACAGATGGAGCAGACCAAAATGATGGGGGGAATGGAAACAGGTCCCTAATGGGAGAGGTAGAAGAATTCTTTCTAGACCCCCATCACCCCTCAGGGTGCCCTTGAAGAATAGATACGAGACTCTGGACCCAGACAGTCAGGTAGAGGACAGCCAAGATGATCCCTCTAGAGAGCCTCCTAGTTCGGCCCTGTCCAAAAGACGGATTACAACCACAGGTATAAAAAAAAAAAGAAGGGTAGTTGTAGTCGGTGACTCCCTTTTGAGGGGAACTGAGGGCCCTATATGTCGCCCAGACCCATCCCAGAAAGAAGTATGCTGCCTTCCTGGGGCCAGGGTGAGGGATATTAGTAGGAGACTTCCTGAGTTAATTCAGCCCTCAGACTATTATCCTCTGGTGGTAGTCCAGGCTGGCAGTGAGGACATTAATCAAAGAAGTGCCAGGATAATTAAAAAGACTTTAAAGCACTGGGTCGGTCAGTTCAGGGGACAGGAGCACAGGTGATATTTGCCTCAGTTCCTGTACTATCTGGGATGGATGAGGAGTTAAATAAAGAGAGGAGTAAAAAGCCCAACTCCTCAACAGATGGCTAAAGAATTGGTGCCACCATCAAAATTTTGGTTTCTTTGACCATGGGGCAAACTCCATGGTACCTAGTTTCTTAAAATCAGATGGGATTCATCTTTCTAGGAAGAATAAGAGGACTGTAGCCCATAAGTTAGCGAGGCTGATTAGGAGGGCTTTAAACTAGGTTTGAAGGGGAAGGGGTTGAAACCGGGCTCTCCAGTGATCAGCCTAAGGATGGAAAGCCTGAGTTAAGAATTAAATCAACAGCCCACCTGAAGTGCATGTACACTAATGCACGCAGTATGGGCAACAAACAAGAAGGAGCTGGAGGCAATTGTGCAGCAGGAAGGCTATGATGTAGTCGCCATCACAGAAACATGGTGGGATGACTCGCATGTCTGGAGTGCTGCTATGGAAGGCTATAAGCTCTTCAGGAAGAACAGGCAGGGGAGGAGAGGTGGAGGGGTGGCTTTATATGTTAGAGACTCTCTGGACCCTGTTGAACTTGAGGTCAGCAACAATAAGGTTGAGTGCCTGTGGATCAAAATCAGGGGAAGACCAACAAGACAGACATCATCATGGGTGTCTTTTACAGACCGCCTTACCAGGATGATGAAGAGGATGAATTATTCTACAAGCAGCTGGCGGATGTCTCAAAATTGTCAGCCCTTGTCCTTGTAGGTGACTTTAACCTGCCGGATATCTGCTGGGAGCTCAATACTGCAGAGAAGAGGCAGTCTAGGAATTTCCTGGAGTGTATAGAGGACAATTTCCTTCATCAACTGGTAAATGAACCTACCAGGGGTAAGGCCCCGCTAGACCTGCTGTTTACAAACAGAGAGGAGCTGGTGGGAGATATAGTGGTTGAAGGCCGCCTAGGAAATAGTGATCATGAAATAATAGAATTTTCAATACTCAGAGATTCAAGGAGAAACAACAATAAAACCTCTACGCTGGACTTCCGGAGGGCAGATTTTGACCTATTCAGAAATCTAGTCCAGAGCATA